TGTCCTCAGGTTTGTAGCCCAAAGACAGATTCCAGCCACCGTTTAGCTGCCTTTGCTCTGTAAAAATCAAAGAAATCAGAAAATTTGTAACATTTTAAAAAATAATAATTTGCCAGCACACTACGTTAAAAAAAACAAAACTGCTGTATTTTGCAATATTGTGTAGTTGGTATAGGCCTATTGTGTTTCCTCAGAGTCCGTCATTTGATTGTCCTTCGTGTTCCAGGGATGCGTCCATTTATCCCAGACAAGGATGTCGGCGCATTTGAGAGTTTCCTGGAAAGCATTGGGATTCGGGAGGGTGGGATTTTAACCGACAGCTTTGGACGTATCAAACGCAGCATGAGCAACATGTCTGCCACCGCCGTGAGAGGGTATGTAGATGTGGTAGTGCAGACTGATATGATCTCAACACATGCTTTTATCATATAGAATTACAGTCAAAACATAAATGTGAGTTTTTCTGACCTTTACTGTTTGTTTTCTGTTTTTCCCAGCAGGTATGATAATTGCTCTCTAGCCTCAGGATCTCAGGAATTCAACCGACGTATCACTGACATCACCCATGACATCGAAGCACTGGGTTTCCAGGACACGCACGATGACATTGAGGAGGAAGACTACTACCTCTGATGGAGCGACAAACCGAAGGACAGTCTTTCCACTGTGACTCCGCCCTACTGCCTCATAGCAAGCTCGAAACATCCACAGACTATAAATATAAATAGTCTGACAGTACCTGCCTTCTTTTATTTTATGTTTTCGATTGAAATTCAAGCTCTGAGGAATGAAAAAAAGAGTAAACAACATGAGAGAAATGCACAGTTTGTTAACTGAAATCCTTAATTCAGAATAAGAAACTCAACAATTAATTATTTTATTATTATTTTTCCTTTAAATTATGTTTGGCACTAATGTGTTTTCAACCAATGGAGTGTGCTTCCTTGCAAAACAATGCACGTAGCCACTGTCTGATTTTGAAATTTTCATTTGAAGCACAAGTGACACATATTTCAATAAAAGAGTCAAGTACAAGTACAAATACATTATATTACGACATAATCACAGAGGTTAGAGGTGTGAGCATGTGCGTTGTGTGTTTTTATTTTTACACGTTCAATAACTTGACAGGAAATGCCTAAATAAAACATAAAAGTAATGAAACATAATTTGAGCTGTGTTGTCCTGTGAAAGTTTAGATGGAAAATCAAAATGGAAAAAAACCATTGAAAAAATATCATTTTTCCTTTTTAAAAATGTGATATTTAGCATTCAATCATATCAGTCACCATTCTTTACACAAAGACACTGTAGCATTATTTTCCGATGGGAGTGTAATATCCACATGTCACCACAGGGAGGCATGGCAGGATTCAAAAAGAAAAAACTTGATTTACATCACTGGATCTCAAATAGAAACAGATAGATTTGTCTCCGTCCCAACGGTGCATTGACCTATTATCATGGCAGCAGCATCATGACCTTCCCATGGTACACTGCTTCCCTCCCCTCCAGCCCTCTATGCCAGCCTCACTTAGCATCAGAGCCCAAGAGAGTCAGTACACCCATGAGCCTCACCCGAGTCACTTAGTCTCATTATGTAAGAGAACAAAGCTGCCTGCATTTATTTGTAACTTTATTTTCATCAGAAGCGATACACAGTCCTCTAAACGCATCATCGTTAGCCAAAAGGCTGATTTTAATCTCTTGAGAATGAACAAATGGAAGAAAGGTGCTGCGAACGGCTCTGCAGAAAAGTGCTTTAAAAATATGAATTCATGGAGAGTACTGGGTGTTCTAGAAGCAGAGAGGAGAAAGGAGATGTTTACAGTTTTCCATTTAATATAGAAAACCCCACAAAATACCTTGTGACTAAGATTCTTCACACTTGACAAGACTGACAAATAATGAAAGGCTTTCTTTTCTGTTCATGTAAGCTTTTCCAAGCTCATTCTTCATTTTCCAGTTACTTCTTGACCCACATCTAAAGTCAGAGGTTGAGATTACAGTTTTTGTGTCTTGAAACTTAATTTGGCATGTGAGGATGATACCAGGAGAAGCAATTAGATAATGTTCAGTTCTATTATGAGAAATGAAGATAATTTATGTTGAGCTAAGCCTGTAGGAAATAAATGCAAGGCGTGTGTGTGTGTAAACTCAATCCTCATCATCAGATTACAGCTCTGTAATCTCTGGAATCATCCATGTGGTAACGTTTAATAACATATCATAATGTCATCTTTCTTTCTATGCA